TCCCCACTGCAGCTAGATGTTTATGTTGGAGAGGGAAGAGAGGGAAAAAGAGAGAGTTTCAGCTTCTCTCTACGATCTACGGTGTTTCTTGGGTCGAATCGACTTGGGCCAAGAATTAAAGTTCCTCTACTCAATGAGGGCTACGACTAAGTACCAAAAATCATGGATTTCACCGAAGATTCAAAAATGAAATTTTGAGAAAAATCAAGGTTAGAGAGCTTGGTTTGTGTTCTTAAAGGTTTCTATCGTTGTGTTACGCTTCAAGAGATAGGATTCTTTTCCTAATTAGGTTTATTTCCAATCTAATGTTGATATATGAAATTGGTAGGGTATTAAAGATGTAATCTCATGTATGACACTTACCTATGGTAGTTGAAATATGAAAAATGGTATGAAAATGGATAAAATCAATTCTAACTTGAATTGGGTATGTAGAAATGTGATTTCTTGAGAAATGTGATGGAATTGGACATTTTATGTGATTACATGATTTGGTGCCTAGAAGGTCTTTGATTGAGTGCATATGTGGATTAAGTGTGTTATTTACATTGAATATGTTGTAACATGCTTGAAAATTGATGTTGGAAAATGTTGGTATATGTATATGATATATTGATGTTAGTTGCATAATGATATGAAATTGATGATGATAATGTAATTCTTGTTGACATTGTGATTGAGATCTTAGTTGCATAATGATATGAAAGGAAATTGTACATTTACATTGCATATGCACGAGTATCATCACATTTGTGGGCGTTTGACATGAGTCTGGGTGTGTGTGCATAGTTTGATCAAACACCATTCTGTGGATGATGCGCGGGCTCGAGATAGTTGGGCCGAGGTTCGACTGAGTCACACGATTTGCATTGAAAATAGGGTCAGGGTTAGTAAGAAGGGCTAGAATGTCCCTCGGGTGCAAGGTGATTGGATATGCACTCTGTTGGTGTAAAGTCCATAAAGTGTGTCGGCGTACGCAAAGCCATTGGTGGAAGTCTATTAATGTTGTATCAGTTGGGTGCCCATTGGTGTGAGGTCCATAAATACCCACCCCAAGAAAGACCTAGGATTTAAATTGGTTATTAGATGTGTAACTTCAATGGCAAGGGCTTGAAATACCCAAATACATATGCATGGCAATGCATGTGTTGAGTGAACCGGTAAAGGCTCTAGTTGAGTTGCATGTGTGAGTTTCATCTCATAACATGGCATGGCATAGATGATCCATTATGAATTGCATATTCTTGAATGAATTAATTGTTGGTAGTGAATTCCATGTGAACATTTCATATGCATCTAAGTTGGGGAGTAACCTCTTTAGGAGATACCCTATTGAGCGTGGCTCACCCTTTATGGGGACAACATTTTAGGTGCGAGACATGTGCCGGTAGACGGATCTCAATCGGGCCCTCATTTTTAAAGAAAAGTCAAGTTATGGCTTTTGAAACATGTTTTGTAAAAACTATTATGTTATTTAGTTTTGGACATGTAATATTATTAAGGATTGTAAAGTAAACTCATATGAACTGTATTTTGCCTAAAATCTGATGTTATATGAGTTTGTGTTGGTGTTGTATAGGGTTGGAATGGATTGGAATTGAAAAAGGATGGAATTGGGAAAAAATTGGGAAGACCTACTAGTAGAACGTCGAGTACTTCTACCAGTAGAACTTTTCCAGTAGGACATGTAATATCAGATTTTCTCCCCATTTACACCAGCTATTCTGATAGAGAGAGAGAGAGAGAAAGAAGAGAGGTAAAAACAAGGGTCCTCCAACCTTTCTTCTCTGATCTAGGGCTCTCCGACCTTCAGATTGCTTCGCGCCAAGAACAAAGTTATTCTATGCGACAAGAGCAACGAGTACGTATCAAAGATCACGTGTTTTGCCAAAATCTTAAAGGCAGGACTATTAGGATCAAATCTTTGAAGCTTGATTTGGGATCTTTGGGACTTCTCCTATGCGATATTATGCTACAAGAGATAGGATTCCTTTCCTAACTAGGTTTATTTTCTACCTTGGATTGTATATGGAATAGGTAGAATGATTAGAGATGAAATCTCTTGTTTAATAAACTCCTAATGTAACTAGAGTATGAGAAATGGTGTAAGAATGTATAGAACCAACTAGGTTTGTTGAAATTGCTTGTTTGTAATTTCTTGAGATACGTGATGAACGAGGCATGTTATGTGTTTACATAATCGTGAGCTTTTTAGGTGTTTGATAAAATGCCTATAAATGATTATGTGTGTTATTGAATGAATATGATATAACATGCTTAGTGGAGAATGAGGAATGTAATTATATGCTTTATAATATAATGTACATTGAGAAATTGGAAATGGTTGTAGGAATGGAATATGTTCATATTATGCTCATGATATGATGAACATGCTATTGTAATTGCAATTAAGAACTTGATTGCATATTGATATGGAATGCAATTGTACTTTACATTTGCATATGAACAAAAAACATCGCGTTCGTAGGCATGTGACATAAGTGTGGGGATATGTGCATGATTTGATTAAACACCATCCTTGGTGGGTTGGTGGGCTCGGGAAAGTTGGACATAGGTTCGACTGAGTCACACTGGTTGTATTGAAAACAAGGGTTGGGGTTAGCAAGAAGAGCTAGATTCTCCCTTAGGTTTAAGGCCCAGTAATTTTAGATATGCACTTCTGTTGGTATTGAGTTCATAAAGTGTGTCGGCGTACACGAAGCCGTTGGTGAAAATCCATAGATGCCATCGGTTATGTACCCATTGGTAGAAGTCCATAAATACCCACCCCAAGAAAGACCCAAGATTTTGTAAAATGGTCATTGAATGTTCAACATCAATGGCGAGGCTTGGAATGTTCGGATGAGTATGCATGGCATTGCATGTGTTATGCGAGCCAGTGAAGGGCTCAAGTTGCATTGCATGTGTGAGTATCACCTCGTGACATGGTATGGCATTGTCAAATTCATTTATGAATTGCATATTCTTGAATGGATATTTGATTGATGTGTTGCATGTGAACATTTAATATGCATTTGGGTTGGGAAGTAACCTCCTTAGGAGATACCTTATTGAGCGTGACTCACCCCATATGGGAACATATTTCAGGCATAGTACAATGCACTAGTGGACGAACCTCACTTGGGTCCTTATTGATGAAGAAGCCGAAATGTGGCTTTTGAATTATATTTTTGTAAACCAATAGTGTAATTTGTTTGAACTTGTAAATTGTATTAAAAGATTATGTAATGAACTCTTATGGACTATAATTTGTATAAATGAATGAATGGATGAGCATGGGAAGTGATTTGATGGATAAAAGTTATAGATTAGAAAGAATTGGGGAAAATCTAGGCTCAAGTATCGATACCTAAGTGATTAAGTACCGGTACCATGTTTTCGGATGGCCCAGGTACCGGTACCTAGACCTATGGGCATCAGTACCTAGATTCCAATGGGCTTAGGTACCAGTACCAAGGCACCAAATACCGATACCCCGATGGACAGCAAGCTCAAGTGCTGATACCACGACATATAGGTACCGATACCTAGCAAACAGTGGGCTCAGGTATTGGTACCAAGTTGCTAAGTTACTGGTACCTGGCAAATGGAATGGACTTGGCAGGTAGAAGGCCCAAGTACCGGTACCTCTTCTAAAATTTTCACAATTTAAATATAACTTCGCTAAGCCTTCAAATCTTGAGCCCTCTTGTTGGAATTATATAATTGGTCTAACATTAAGTCCTAATTGATGGTAATGGACCTTGGAATGGTCAAGTGGTTAATATATACACAAGTTATGTGTTGGGTAGCGCTCCGGTACAGAGGAAACTTTCCTCAAACTCTATATTGGTTACGATCCCGGCGAAGGAAATGTGATGATGTGGTGTCTGGTTATATGGCATATGCAAGTATTTCCGCGGATTGATGGGTGATCAACGATTAAGAAAGGACCCCTGGATTTTGAGGCGTCACAATTAATCCTTATGAATAGAGGTTGAATAAAGAGAAAGTAAAACTGAGTTAACAATTAGAAAATTTAGGGAGAAAAATCAACTGGCATATCGGTTATGAGATCTGGTATTCCGGATAGGGAAAGTAGCATACTAGTTGGCCTCAGAAGATTAAAAATGGGTTCTGGTTCAATTTTTTTTTTTTGGGATAAAAACCTATTATTGTCTAAAATATCTCAAATCCTTCACTCCTTTCTCCATAAAATCGTAATTTCATATTCTCTTAAAACCTCTCACGGTCTCTCTCTCTCTCTCTCTCTCTCTCATTAACTAATCTAAATCTAGGTTTCTCTCTATGGCTCCAAAGAAATAATGATATTGAGGAATCCTCTACTACTCAAGAGAGGAGATCTGATCTAGCATTTCTGAATGAAGATTTTTTTTTTAGAGTCAGCATATCAAATTAGAAGAATTAGATTATATGGATGTAGACTCAATATTGACTAAGACATGTTGGCTACCTCTACTAGAACTAGATGAAGTTTATTATCCCAACCTAGTATGCAAATTTTATACAAACTTGTATGTGAAACAATTAGGCACTATAAAATCTATGGTGCAAGGAAAGGTGATAAAATTATCACATAAGAAGTTAGCAAAGATTTTGGGGGTTCTTAATGAGGTCAAGAATATTTTCTACTAGGAAAGAGCACACTTGAAAGGCCATTTTGATGATAAAAATAGTTGTTTGAATAGTGTATTTGGTGAAAGACATGTTATGCGACAAAAACTTGAGGCTAAGAACATGCTTCCAACCCCTAGGATTATTAACAAAATCATGAACAAGTTTGTTCTTCCTAGAGGTGGTCACTACAATGAGGTGACTCAATATCAAGTCTTCTTGGTGATGTACATTATGATTTGTAGGAAATTAAACTTGCCCTACATCATTATGGAATAAATGCAGTTTGTTGAAAGAAGAAACACCAGCCCCCCTTACATCATGCTTGTCAACAAGATTTTTTAAGGCCTTTGACATTGACTTAGAGCACAAAGAGTGCATTGGAGGGATGACCTTATTTGATAGCATCACACCCAAACAAATGGGAATTGAAACACTTCATGAGTTTCACATTAGACAAGAGAAGGAGATAATAGAAACAAGAGAAAAAGGTGAGAATGTGGGTGAACAGAGTGGAGCAACTGTGGGAGCTGCAAGTAAGAAAGATGAGATGGAAAGAGAAGGAGATAAGCTTACACACACTGTGGAGATCCAAGGGTTTGATGATGAGAGTGCATCTAGACCTCAATATGTTACCTATGAAGAGTTTGACAGCTTGAGTAGGTCTATGGACATTCTTACTACTAGTGTGGCAGGCTTGCACACTAAGCTTGATGACATGATGGAATTTCTGAAGTCAAGATTTGGGACTCCACCTCCACCACCACCTTCTAATAGTGTCTATCATCCTGATGATCCAACTGATGACATATTTATGGAATTCTAGAAGCTTTCGGTTTATTAGTCATAGTTAGTATGGACTAGGACATCCACAATTTAGGATGTTACATTTTGTTATCACTCTAAGACTCTTAAATTCTTTTTGAGTGTTGGGCTCTATGATATTTAAAGTCTTTTTGACTACAACTATGTTATGATATGGTTTTATAATATGGTCGTCTTTCTTATTTGATGCTTTAATGATCTTTATGCCTGTATGTATTGCGTGCTATTTGTTAATTATGATCAAGATGGAAATATTGTGGTTTTGAGCACTATCTGTTATTTCTCATTCATATCATTGACGTCGATCAAATGCATAAACAAAAGTAAATAAGCTACCCTTGCTCAATACATATCATTAATTTATGCATTGTACGCTAACCTTTGGTAAGTGATTATAACCTATGCCAGTTTTCATATTGATGATACCAAAGGGGAAGAAATATGTGTATGCGTATCAATTGTTTGATATTACACCTTCAAAGGAGATACACACATACAAATGTTTTGTACTCAAAACAAATTCTTTCAAAACATTTTGTGGGAAAATGTTTGAGAGGTGCATAAGTTGAGGAGGAGTCTCACTTATAATTTCAAAATGCTTTTCGGTGTATGCATAAATCTAGGGGGAGTATATGCAAAATGAATGTAAAAATGTTGATAAGTTTGTTGAATGATGTATGATTTTGAATTGTAGATGTTTTGTCATCATCAAAAAGGGGGAGAATGTTAACCCATTACTTGTCTAAGCATGGTTTTGATGACGATCAAAACATCTACACTATGATCTCAATATGTAATTTATATGTGTGGTGTGCAAAATGGAAATAAAGAAAGGAACAAAAAAGGAAGGATGAACATAGATGATAGATGAACTATCATTATAATGCCCCTAAAATCGAGGGTCCTTTGTCAACCCCCTAATTGCCCATCAATCCGTAGAAGTACCCGTGAATGCAGCATAACTTGAAATCACATCATAACATCCCCTTCACCGAAATAGTAACCAACACGGAATTTGGGCAGAGTCTCCCTTATACCTGCACTCCCAAACATATAACCTGTATACATTTCAATCACTTGATCATTTCAAGGCCTAATATACATCACTTTGTCCTTAATATTACTCTATTTACACCACTTGAACAAAAAGGCTCAAGGCCTAAAGTTTTGGTAAAGTTATTTTGAATTTTTTGAAAATTTTGGAGGAGCTACTGGTAGCTCGTGAATGTGCTATTCGTAGCTAAGCCCTCTGCCAGACCTACCATTAGCTGTCCACTGTCAGCGAGCTACCGATAGCTGGGGTACTTGCTACCGGTAGCTAAGCCCTCTGGAATTGTGTTACCAGTAGTAGCTAATCAACGTGCTACTGGTAGCGGGGCCCAGTTTTTCCTTAATTCAATCCTTTTTCAATTTTAACTCAGCCAATCTCATACAACATTCACCCAAACTCATATAACATCAAATTTTTACATGAAATATAGTTCATATAAGTTTATTTTAACATCCTTTATACAACGTTACTATAAACTCCCACGCTCTTATCTTTATATAACAAATAATTATTTTTGAAATACTAATATAAGTGATGAGGTATGCATGAACCATATATATAGTAATAGTAGGAATAAATGCTAGGGAGGCAAATTGATTGTAAAATTTAATTTTTGAAAGTGTTTAAGGTTGATAAGGGTAACTAAGTAAAACNCTATAGATTGTAATAGTAGGAATAAATGCTAGGGAGGCAAATTGATTGTAAAATTTAATTTTTGAANATATATATAGTAATAGTAGGAATAAATGCTAGGGAGGCAAATTGATTGTAAAATTTAATTTTTGAAAGTGTTTAAGGTTGATAAGGGTAACTAAGTAAAACTATTAATTTTTTTAGGTCAAAATAATATAATCATTGAACCTGGGAGATTCAAAAAACTTGGAATAACCGTTTAGTACATATAACAGTTCAGAGGAATAAAATAATAATTTTAGTCTTTTGAGTGTAAATTTACTTTAGTTTTGAGATAAATCATAAAACTAAATATTTTTAGGTTAAAATAACATTAAAAATGAATCCGGAACGTCAAAAAACCTTAAGGTAGTCATATGGATCAAATTGAAGATTTTTAGTGGTAAAATCGTAATTTTGGAAAAAAAACCTAAATTTCAGCTCATGAATAGTAACTTTCGGGAATGCTGTGTTTAAAACACAGATTTCAGCCCATTTTCTTCATTTCATTCTCACCCCAAATCTCTTAGAACCCTAGAAGAAGATAAAGGGAAAAGGAAAAGGGAAGAAAAAAGTCTCTAAATCTTGGGTTTTTCTTCGAATTTTTGATTGCTAGGTAGGGGTTTTTTCTCACTCTTGTTTATTGAGGTTAGGGCTTATATATATATATATGTTTTGACTCTAAATTTTAGAAATATGTTATGAAATCATGGTTTCTTGATGTCCTTGCAAATCCTATCATGTTTTGAATAAAGTTATGGTTTGATAGTCTTGTTGTAATCTCAAAACCCTTGTTTCTTTCAAGAAATAGAGATTTTTCTTCTTGATATTCCTTGTTCTTTATTTCAAAACTCTAGTGCTTCATTTGAATAATAAAAATATATGTTTGATGATCTTTTGCATATTTTTCTTGAACTTGCTCTGTTGGAAAAATACCAACGAAATTGGAGGTTTTTTGATTTACTTGTGATTTGAGAAATTGATTGGTATTGTATCTCTTGTGTGAATGTTTGGATGACCATGGGTGGCCATTGATCGGGTATCATAGAGTGGGTAGATGCGTGTTTTACTCCGTGCGGATTTGAATTTTTCCTACCACTCGTAGTGGGGTTGGTGCCTTATGAGGACCAAACCACCATTCGCTAACGGGTACTAAGGCTAAGGGTTAGTATACTATTCCTAGGTAAGATTCATCATTTCTAATGTGTTGNCAAACCACCATTCGCTAACAGGTACTAAGGCTAAGGGTTAGTATACTATTCCTAGGTAAGATTCATCATTTCTAATGTGTTGGAATGTGTCCTTTCTAAAGTTGTATATCCTTGAGAGGATTTGGGTGTGTGTGTGGGCCATGATATTCTCGATGTGTTTATTCATGCGATATCTTACATCATACCTGAGATACATTGTGAGCTATTGTTTATTGTGCAAATGGTTGGTTATGATTTATTGTGGAAAGGAGTTTATTGTGGACATGGTTATTGTGGAAATGGTAATTCGTTGAAATTGTTATTTTTGGGAATTAGTTTTACTTTTCATTTAATTATTGTTATTTTGTAAACTTGAGATCCACTGAAATGTCCCTATTTTTCTTCAAAATCTATATATGATATTTGTAAAATGAGACCGACTATTTTATATGCATTCAAAATCTTATTCGATTTTGGGAGGATTTTCCTATAGAGCTTAGTGCTCACCCCCTACAAACAATATCTTTTTCAGATTATGGTCTAGAAGAGGAGTCGAAGTTGATGAGCCAGTATATTGGGAAGCTCCAATAGATGGGAACGTGAATCCCAATGTGGATGTTTAGAGCTCTATTCCCTTATGTTCTAGACTAGAAAATTTATTTTGAGACAATGTGAAATCTAATATTTTCATTATTCTACTGCAAGATAATAGTTGATTTTCTTTTGGTTATAATTGTCATAGTTGTGCATATTATTTTGGATGATGTTGTATACATTGTGGATGATTAATGAAATTATCTTTTGTTATGAAGTCCATTTAGTTGCTCTAATAATGTGAATGATTTTAGATAGTAATGTCTTTCAAGGGGGATTTTGGGGCATTACAAATCGAACTCATATGGACTATTTTAATGTAAAATAAAAATTACATGTGGTTATATGAGTATGGATAAATGGACCCGATGTGGTCAATATTTATTTATAAATAGACCCGGTGTGGTCAATATTTATTCATAAATAGACCTAGTGTGGTCAATGTAGTATAATTACAGAGGTTGTATTTTGAGTAGAGCTCCCCTTACAAAGGATATTCTGCCCAAATTTTGTTAAATTAATAACCCCCAATTTTTGGGGCGTTACAGGTTTGGTATCAGAGCCTAGAAATTAGGTCTTACATGGGAGCTGTAGGTTATGAATTACCACTAGAGATGTAGGATTAGGTTGAATGAAATTTTTGATTTAAATTTTATACAAGCCTTGTGCTTTAGATAAAAGTGATAGTTAGGATGTCTTGTACATCAAAAAAAACTAAATTATAAATTGATGTGTAGGATAGATGGTGGACGTGGACATGGGTGTAGTGGCCAAGCAAACCCACCACCTCTAGATGCCATGAATGGCATATACCAATGCCTAAGGGAGCTAACCACTCTGGTGCAACACCAAAATAGAAACAACAACCACAACGGGAGGATTCATCCATTAGCTCAGGAACTGGGCAACAGGGACGAAAACTGAAGGATGATAGTTCTTCGAGAATTTTTGAGGCAACACCCACCTACTTTTCAAGGAAGCTCTCACCCCATGGATACGGATAAGTGGATTCGCAGGGTGAGGAAGATGTGTGATGGCATGGGAGTTGCCGATGATTTGTGGGTTGGCTTGGCTACATACCTGTTAGAGGAGGAGACAAACCATTGGTGGGATTCGGTGAAGAGAAGGAGGAACACTGATGTTTTTAGTTAGGAGGAGTTTTTACTTGGGAGGAGGAACGCATATTTTCTTGCCCTACGACAGGGTAGCATGACGATGACGGAGTATGAGAGGAAGTTTGATGAGTTATCTCGCTATGCCACGGAGTTCATATCTACTGAGGCTAGGAGGACCAAATGATTTTATCAGGGTTTGAGGCCTGCTATTATAGAGAAGCTGGTGGCTCACAAGATCCAGGGCTATGGGGATCTTGTTGATAGAGCTGCATTGGTGGAAAGAGACACAGAGGACAACCAACGGGGACAGAACTTCATGAGGGGAGGTCTGATCTAGAGGAGTGCTAGTAGTAATGGAGTGCAGAGGGCGACACCATAC